GCGAACAGTTGTGGTTTCACACTGGACCCTGACATTTCTGTAAATGTACCTCCATAGATAGCGAATAACAAGTCGCCCTCACCGTAAGGTGAATGGATTTTTGGCCCTTAAATATGGAGCCTCACGAGAGGTTGGGCGTGTTGTATGAAAGGAGAGAAGGTTAGCACTCCCCTTGACAAGGATGGAAGAGGCCCTCGGGCCTGACAACACGCATACGGTTAAGGCATTGCCACCTACTTCGTGGCATCTAACCATCGTTTTTTGTGGTTTTTTTGTTTTTCTTCGGACGGAGTCTTACCCTATCGCCCAGACTGGAGTGCAATGGCGCGATCTCGGCTCACTACAACCTGCACCTCCTGGATTCAAGCGATTCTCCTGCCTCAGCCTCCCGAGTAGCTGGGATTACAGGCGCGCGCCACCACGCCCGACTAATTTTTTGTATTTTTAGTAGAGACGGGGTTTCCGCCATGTTGGCCAAGGCTGGTCTTGAACTCCCGACCTCAGGTGATCCGCCCGCCCTCGGCCTCCCAACGTGCAGGGATTACAGGCGTGAGCCACTGCAAAGCCCGGCGCATTTTTTGTTTTATCTTCTTTCGTCTTCTTTCCCTGGGACGCGGGCTGGGGATGCGCGTGTGCACGGGTGCGCCGTCCCGCCGCTGCGTGGGGCTTTTCCCTTCTTCTTCACCGCCCCTTCTTGGCACTGGGTCGTGTTCGCGTCCCGACACCCGGCAGGGCCCGTCTCCCGCGGGCGGCCCGGTCGCAGCCTCAAGCACAGGGCGGCTCGGCGGGTTGACGGGCGCGTCCCCAGCATCGCAAACGTTCGGGGCCTCGTTCAAAGTCTGATGGAAGTTTCCGCTTAACATTGATTCATTCACAGAAAACTAAGCACTGGGCACGGCACGGAGTTACAGCAGCTACCGAGCGAAGCCGCTGCCCGCCCGGAGCGCGTTCCCGGCCATTCCAGGGCCTCCGCCCCCAGCCCCGTGGAGACCGGCTCCAGCGAGTAGGGCGGACGGGGAGGGCCACACCCAAGTCCAGATCCAAGGAGGCGCGAGGACCTCGGAGCCCTGAGATGCAGGGAGGGCCCCGCAAGGCCCCGGGGCTGGAGGGGAGCCAGGGGCTAGGAGAGGGGTCAGGGGATGACCCGTTTGGCCCGGGGCCCCACGGACCTGTGCAAGGACCTGAGCTTCGACCCTCAGCAAGGGCGAGACCTTGGAGAACCTCCTGCAGGGTAGGGACGGGACCGAATGAGCTCAAAGGACATCCCTCCGGCGACCACGCTGAGAACAGCCCAGCGGGCAAGGATGGCAGCGGGAAGACCTTCGGGGCTGCGGCGGGGCGAGGCCGGAGGCCGGATGCGGGCCATATGGAGGGGCTGAGAGCCCTGGGTTCTGGAGAAGATGTGCCAACAGCCGTGGAGGGCAGGGTCAGGGGTAACTGCAGGGTGTCAGTTCCCCTCCGGGGAAGGACGCGGTGCCACCTGCTGAGACAGCCAAGGCTGCGGGAGGCGCCGGCCCTGGGAACTGGAGGGCCCGGCACTGAGGCTTGGGATGCGGAGAACAGGCAGGCCAAGTGCGCGCCGCTCCAGGGCTCAGCCTGCGCGGTCAGCACACCAGCCACATTAAAGCCACAGCCTGGTCCGCATCCCTTAGGAGGGGGTGGGCCGATCCAAGGGAGGGCTCAGCCTGGAGGCTGGAAACCCAGGCCCACCCCATCCCCTGCACCCCGACAGTGAAGCTGCCAAGCGACCTTCATCTGTTGCAGCCCCTACCCTTGGGGTCACCCTATATTCTGGTATTTCCCTCCCCAAAAGGCCTTATGGGAACCCTCCCTCCTGCTCACCAAGCTTTTTTTATTTTTGTTTTGAGACGGAGTCTCGCTCTGTCGTCCAGGCTGGAGTGCAGTGGTGAGATCTCGGCTCACTGCAACCTCTGCCTCCCGGGTTCAAGCGATTCTCCTGCCACAGCCTTTCGAGTAGCTGGGACTACGAGGCGCCCGCCACCATGCCCGGCTAATTTTTCGTATTTTTAGTAGAGACGGAGTTTCACCGTTTAGCCAGGATGGTCTCGATCTTGTGACCTCGTGATCCGCCCGCCTCGGCCTCCCAAAGTGCTGGGATTACGGGCGTGAGCCACCGCAGCCGGCGCTCACCAAGCTTTTGACCTAAGAGTTGACAATCAGGAAAAACTGAGAGAGACCTTGAAATAGGCATAAGGAAAACACCCTCTGCTCGACCTAAGGAGTCTTGGCTCTTCACTGTTCACAGCTCGAAACTGTGGGAAGCTGAATGTGCCTGCCCAGTGGGATGCGATTATTACTGTGGATTTTGACCTTTTGCCAGTTTTGAATCTATTTGCAATTTGTCTCAGCATTCGTTTGCCTGCGTAAGTGTGGTACTTTCAAGCGGTTGTAACATCTTACAGACCCCCCTCATTAGTCGAGTTATGTAAAATCTTTGCCAAGTGGATATCGCCTTTAACAGTACCTGCACCCCCTGCTCCCCCGCACCCGTCCGGCTTGGTGGTGAGGGTCAGGGTCTCCCATGAGGGTGTGAAATGCCATCTCAGTCCATAGCCCAGGAGCGGGCATCACTCTACTGGGATTCAGCATCCTCTGCCCGTCCTCTGGGTAACCATACCTGATTCTCCTCTTCACTGACTCTTTTCTCCTATTTCTCAGAACTCATCCTTGACCCTAAGGTAGCTCCTTGCTGGGTCGGTGAATCCACACGGCCAACACCTTACCCCACCGCAGTGTTTTGAGAGCTTCCTTCATGGGCTGAAGAGCAGGATGTGCCAGGATGTGACACGCAGCTTGTTTTCCTAAATGACACAGATGGACCCCACCTGTGCATGGTTCCCATAGATGGAAACCACCAGAAAGGCACCCCAGAGAGTGAGAACGGCAAGCGGGGTGAGAGCGTTCCCCTGATCTGTGCATGTGTCTCTGTCCGTCACGTCTGTCCTGGGCACAAACTCCTGTAGGTTTTTAAACATAGAACTCGAGTAACGACTGGAAAGATGTTTATCAAATAACACCAATCTCCTGATGAGTCAGCTGTTTGAACACACACCCACGGCCACCCGCCGTGTCCTGAATCAAGCATGGAGTGTGGCCTGCTGCTGCCCCCACTGCCAGGTTACAGGGAACACAGGAGACCGGAAGATGCTGAACGGCCCCACGGAGACGCACTCAGCAAAACCAGACCAGGAGGCCTCAAGATAAACGACCTGGTTTCAACGGATACATGGTACAGAAAAGAGGGAGGACCTGACGATTTAAAAAGACTTGAGGGGCGGGCTCGCTGGCTCATGCCTGTAATCCCAGAACTTTGGGAGGCCAAGGCAGGCAAAGCACTTGAGGTCAGGAGTTCAAGACCAGTCTGGCAACATGGTGAAACCCCATCTCTGCTAAAAATACAAAAATTATCCGGGCGTGGTGGGTGGGTGGGTGCCTGTAATCCCAGCTACTCAGGAGGCTGAGGCAGGAGAATCACCTAAACCTGGGAGGTGGAGGTTGCAGTGAGCTGAGGTTACGCCACTGTACTCCAGCCTGGGCAACAGAGCAAGATGTCTCCAAAAAAAAAAGGCTTAAGGTAAACTAACCAGATGCAGGTAAAGACCTTGTCTGGCTCCCGATTCCATACACAGGCATACACGTGTGCAAGCACATACATGCATTTGCGCATGCGCACATACCCTATGCACACATACCTTGCAGGTACATCTGCATACACATACACATGCTGTCGTTCGCTGCACAAACGTACTTGTGTGCACCCATGTACAGGTGTGCCCTACATGCATATATACATGTGTACACGTGCATGTGACGTGTGTATATGCGTGAATGTGTGCAGATACGGGAACACTTTCTTTAAACATACTAAGACAACGGGAAATCTGAACATCAGATATTCAATTAAAGAATTTTAGGGGGGCTGGGTACAGTGGCTCACGCTTGCAGTCCCAGCACTTTGGGAGGCAGAAGTGCATCACTGGAGGCCAGTAGTTTGAGACCAGCCTAGGCACCATAGTGAGACCCTATCTCTGCAAAATTAAAATTAAAAAATTCGCTGGCCTGCCTGGCCAACATGGCAAAACCCCGACTCTTACTAAAAATACACAAAATAGCTGGGCCTGTAATCCCAGCTACTCAGAAGGCTGAGGCACAAGAATCGCTTGAACCCGAGATATGGGATTGCAGTGAGCTGAGATGGCACCACTGCACTCCAGCCCGGGCGAGTTTAAACCCTGTCTCAAAAATAAAAGAATTAAGACAGGCATGGTATCATGTGTCTGTGGTCCCAGCTACTTGGGAGGCTGAGGTGGGAGGATCACTCGTGTCCAAGAGGTTGAGGCTGCATTGAGTCATGATCACATCACTGTATTCCAGCCTGGGCAACAGAGCAAGACCCCATCTCAAAAAAAAAAAAAAAAAAAAAGGCAGAGGGTTGGAGAACTTTTTTGGTATGAAAATGGCATTGTGGTAATAATGCTTCTGGAGAATTATTTTGAGACACCACACGTTCACCGCTTACATGGTAGAATGTCTGGGATTTGTACTAAAATAACAGAAGGAGCCCATGAACAAGGAAGTTCCTGCAGCAGGGACAGGAAGGAACCTGGGGGCGCCACGCTCTTCACATCTGAAAGCTCCTGTTAGTTTGTAAGGCATACCGTGGAAGATACTCCCCAGCACGGTGGTGGCAGCAGGACTTTGGAGGACCTCTCCTCATCTGTGCCTACCTGCCTAACACTGTCAGTAATTAGCACACAGATATATACCTAAGAGTGGAAAAATCAATACAAAATACATAGAATAATTAGCACAAAGAGATGACTTTCCTACGGTTACCGTAAAAACCCAGGGCTGTCCTGTGGGGCACACTGGCACACCAGACACTACCCCCACCACCAGGGACAAAGCCCCAGGGCGGCCGCCCTCCCACCCCACAGAGACAGCTACGTTTGAAGTTAAGAAATTCTCACAGGACAAAATTAGAAGACATGAAAATTTTTATTTTCAAAAAGAATGTATTTTTACATAAATCTACAACAGAATTCAAATGTAGAAAAAATAAACTATATTCAGGGATACAGCGCTCAGCACAGCACACCCCCTCCCCGGAGTGGGCCATCCTCCCCAGAACAAGACTGAAGGAGGCTCGCCGCCCCCAGGACCCCCACAGCAGGGCAGCCGCAGGCTGGCACACGGAGCTTCCCGAGTCTGTCACAACAGACTGCAAATGTGAGGCGCCCAGACCCTGAGTGTCGAAGACAAAAACCAACCCATTTTCACTGTGGTAACTCACTTCTTAGCGCAGGTCACTCATCCGTACACCTCATCAGAAACAGACGGGCAAGGGAAACCACAGGACATACATCTCCAGATGCCTCGGATAATCCCCTCCTCACCTCTGCCACTGCAGGACCCCCAGGAGAGCCCACCTGACAACCCCCGCTTCCTCCCTGGGCCAGTGCAACCAAAAACCTGCAGGATTCACCCAGGACTCCAGGCCCTGAGAGGCAGAGCCGGCTGGGCTCCCCCAGGACTCCAGGCCCTGAGAGAGGAAGAGTTGGCTGGGCTCCGGGGCCAGGGCCCTCTGTAGACCCAGGACCCAAGCGGGCTTCCCAGAGCATCACAGCCTACACCACCCCAAAGCGCTGCCCCGTGGGACAGACCCAGGCGCCCGTGCCCTCGGCCACCCTGCTCCGCCCTGTGTGGCAGCCCTCACCACAACGGTCTCCACGGAGCTCAGGTTTCGGCCTCGCTCCCCAGAGGTGCCAGCTTGGCCTCCACTGTAAACTGCTGTGCAGGTGAGCACCAGGAAGCCGCACCGCCAGGAGCACAGAGGGGTGGGCGGGCGAGTGAGGGTTCCGGCAAGGACAGTGAGGCTTGCGCTTAGCACCCAACCCCTCGAGGATGCCGAAGGGCAGCGCTGGCCCTGCAGCCCTCATAGGGCGCATCAGTCCCACTGGCATCTGACCTGGAGTGAAGGGCTCAGGGAGCGTTCCCATGCCACAGGCATCCTCCACATCCCAACGGGAGCCCATCAGGAGCTTGGCTCCTTCGCAACTAAGAACCTCCCCACCCCCGCTCCTCCCCCAGCAACACTGAACAGTGAACCTAGAGAGGAAGGCGGCTTCAGAGAGCAGGCGCAGCCAGCCTCAGCACCACCTTTCCGAAGAAACCTTCCGCCCTCTTGCCCCAGGGGAGCCTTTCTCCAAGAAAGCCACATGGAGACGAGCTTCACAAGGACTCACTTGCCACAACCATTCACAAAACCCCACCTTTTATTACAGTCTGTGGTGCTGCTTGTTGCAGGGACACTGAGACAAACCGGAGCGTCGTGCGCAATGACTGTGCTGTCGACGTGTGGCCCACAAGCTCCCGAGACACAAACGGCTCTTTACACGGAAAACAACCACACAACGCTGCTTTCCAGAAAGACAAAAACACACTAGCAACGGCTACTGGCGGGAATGGAGGAGTCAGGGCCCGAGGCCAAAGGGGAGGCCAGCTGGCGGGGCCACGGTGGCGGTGACGGCGTGCACTGGGTCATGGAATATCAAAAAGATACAGAACGTTTACTGAAAAAACACAACGCATGTTAAATTGAACTTCACCCTTTTGTAATAAAAAATTAAAAATTTTTGTTGACTCTGTTTGAACACAATAGACTAGGAACTCTTCCCTAGACAGTGTTAGAATTGGCAAGAAATGTCACCAGCAACTTTTAGAACTTTCCGGTGGTCCACACCTTCCGCTCGGCCAAATCATCTTCAAAGAGGAGGCTCGAATCAGGCCCTGTCCTGACCCCCAGGCGCAGACCCTGGGGACCACCTCCAAGACACCATGTTTCTTGCCAATCCGGGTCAACGTCCCGACAGTCCCTCGCGGGCAGGCGCAAAGGGACTTAGCAGTCACTCTTCCACAGTTTAATTGTTTTGTCATTTTCTAGCGCAGCAGAGGCAATGATGTTTTCTGTTGGGTGACAGGCTGTTGAGATCACAACATCTGAAAACAAAGACACAGTCAGAAACAGCCATCCCTGTGCCCTGGGCGCCATCCCAGACTGAGCTCCACCTCTCCCCAGAAACGCTGGTAGCTCCTGCACACCACCCGGGAGGTCTCAGGACAAGCAGCTGCTGCCCACCCTCGACACAGGGAGCCCAGGGGAGGGGAGCGAGGGGACAGCAGCTGGTACCAGGGCGACACAGCCGGTTGGGGGGCAGGGGCAGGAGGCCACAGGGAGTGTCAGCCCTGCCTGCAGACCAGGAGCCCCGCATGCCCCTACTAGCAGCAGCTCGGCACCCACAGGGAGGAGCGTGGCAGCAGGACTGGCTCAGAGGCCAGCGCGCACAAGGACCCCAGTCAGACCCCTCACGGTCCTCAGTCCTTTATCGACAATGTCCCTCTTTTACTCGGACCCTGAGCCGCCCACTCCCGCCACCTCCCACCAATGCTGAGCCTCAGAGCGCTCCACAGGGCTGGCTCTGTCACAGCGAGGACAAGTCCACCACCCGAGCAGGGCGGTCAGATCTAACAGGGTGGTGCAAGGTCGGCCACATCAAATCACAGTTTACAACTTCTACATAAACCAAAGAAACCCCAGAACACCGGTGAGGACCCGGAGGAAGGCCCAGGCCCGCCGTGGAACATGAGTGCTGACCCCAGGCTGGGTGAAGCTGCTCGAGCAGAGGGAGAAGCAGCACCTCCCCCAGTTTCCACAAGGGCTTGCCCCCCCCATGCTCTCATTGGTCCCATGAGACATGGAAATGCAGGGCCAGAGGGTGAGGAAGCAGTGGTGGCTGCAGAGGGCAGCCAGGACCCAGGGAGGGGCAACCCCAGGTCGCTTGGGAACCAGCACCGCTGTGGAGCCCACTAGGCCTGCATGCAGCAGGGGTCTCTCTGGGAGAGGGAACAGGTAATCGAAAGGAGCCAGAGCCTCCAGGATGGGGCAGCGATGACCTCACTGTCCCCGGCCCAGGAAACGGAGCTCGCCGTGAAGTGGGACACGCTACACCCACCTAAAGTCCCACAGCCACACACACCTTCCGGACCAGAATACCCGGCAGAACAGGAAGAAACAGGGTTCAAGACAGGAGCCCTGGGTCCGAGTCGGCAGCACAGTGACCAGCTCCATGCCTTGGGCAAGAGCTCTTAGCAGCGGCTCCTCAATGGGGCCAGCGGAGGGCTGAGGAGGGAAGGGGAAGACGACGGCACCCTACGGGCAGACCACGCTTCACCTACAGGAACTGTCCTCACATCAACAGGCAGCCGTGGCTGCGGGAGCACAGGCCCTCACCTGTGTGGCCTTGTAGTTTCTGTACAATCTCTTTCGTCTGAAGGTTCCAGATGTAAACAAGGTTATCCTCTGAGCCAGACACAATCCACTAAGTAACAACAAGCAGGGAAAACAGGGCAAGGAAAAGCAGGTCAGCGCTCGTGTATGTGGAAGGGGCAGAATCTCCAGTTATGCCCCGCCCCACGCCCACCCCGCTGGTGGCTGCCTGGCTGAACTCAACCAAAAAGCCGTGCCTGCCCTCCAGCCAGGCCTGAGGCTTCCTCCCCCAGTGCGGACAGCCCCGCCTGCTCTACCCCAGCACGGGCCTCGCTCAAAGAAGCCAGGCACCTGCCTGCCCCAGGAGAGGCTTCCAGGCTGGAAGATGCTTCTCAGGTCCCCCTTTCCTGAGTCTGTGTGTCATACACATGCTGCCCGAGAGTCACCCCGGTCTAAGCAGCATCGAGACCAGTGTGGGTGGGCGGGAAAACACTCCCCTCCCTGCTGGGGCGGGTGGACAGCCTCGGAGCCAGCGCACCCACCCAGGGACACCCTGAGCCGCGGAGCTCCACCTGTGGGGTCCCAACCCCCTCGGAAGGCATCGGCCAAGCACTGCCAGCAGAGCCCGGCAACAGGCTGCCTGCCTCCGTTAAGGAGCTGGACCTAGAAACAGACGGGACAAGGTGTCCCCGGTGCCTGGCGCAGCGCACTTTGGTTGAAATGGAAATTCATTGTGTGGGCAGAGAAAAGCGTCTGAATGTAAAGCAACCTGTAACAGGGGTGACCTCTCGGGAGAGTAAGCTGGGAACGCGTGAGACGCTTCAAGGTCATAAGACTCACCTTCCCGCCAGTAACAGAGAAATTAGCAAATATGCAGTATTTCTCATTCTTGTGGCCAGTGTACGTCTTCAGGCACTGAAACAGGAGGGGACAGGCTGGTCACAGAGTCATGGATCCCCTTGATTTTGTATAATTCTACGTTCTAAGCAAGGCGTTTCACCACTGACTACACTTACTTCTGAAAAGTACAAGTACAAAACCCACACAATCGAAGATTTAACTTGCAGACTGCCACCCTACGAATACCCAGGTTTTTCAGGAATCTGCACCAAACCCGTGGAAATGGTTCTCTGAGCTCCTCTCCTTTGTCATCAGCGGGGCCACTCTGTCCCCACCAGAGGCCATGACCCAGGGACGGCGCACAACGGGGGCCCGAGCCTGCGGGAGCTCACCTTGCCCTTGCTGTAGTCCCAGAGCTTCAGAGTGCTGCAAGACAGAGAGAGGCGTGAGGCGGCACGGCCGGAAGCGTCCTGTCCCCACGCCCAACTCTGCAGCCACTACGTCACAGCCACCATCAGCGCCAGGTGCAAAAGCCAGCGGGGATGCAACCCCCTTCCCCGTCAGGGTGAGGGCCCCTCAGGCTCAGAGTCCAGTGACTTGGCGTTGGGGAGCCACAGTGTGAGAGCCCCAAGTATTTGCAGTTCCAAGAGAGACTTTAACAGGAAGCTGACGGGTGTTATCGTCCCTGACTCAGGTCATCCTCAAAAGGGTGAGGAAGTCCTCTTGGTTCTGGAAACATCCAGAACAGGTTTTACCACCCAATCACACAGCCCTCAGAGGATCGGGGCCCAGACTTGGACCCACAGGGCTGAGGCTGCATGCGTGGGAAAGCTGGAGCTTAGAGAACAGTCCGGGAGGGCAGCGGCTTTGTGAGAGGTAAAACCAAGGTCCTCAGAGGTCAGAACCAGAAAGGGCCTTGGAGGACCCCGGACCACCTACTCCTTCATGTGGGATGGCTAGGCCTGCCCCGGCCAGAGTCACTCAACCAGAAAACCGACCCTAAATCCTCCTTTAGTCGGACCTGAGGTTCAGCCTCGGGAAGGGATGGGCAGGGGCCTGCCCTCTGACCTAACAGGCCACTGCCCAGAAGCCAAAGCTCCAGCAGGAGCCTGGGTCCCGTGCCAAGCCCACGACATGCTCTCCGAAGGCTCACACTGGCGAGCAGGCGTCTCTGGCTGGGGAGGCCACACGCCCGCCCCCACGGTCCCACGCAGTACTCACTTGTCCAGCGTGGCGGCCAGGATGTATTTGCCGTTCGGGGAGAACTTCACGAAAGACACTGGGGGGTTGTCGTCATCTGCAATAAAAACAGACAGGTGACACGGGGCGGGCGCTGACAGCTGGGCAGGGACAGGAGGTGGGACCCGCTCCCCGTCCCCCACGTGCGACATCTGAGTGAGGTCGGCCACCACCACCAGTGCCAGCACCACCACCCCTTGGTGCCCCGAAGGGTGGCCTAGCCACGCACACCAGCCGTGAGCAGGTTCTTGACACCTCAAGCCCATGGCCCCGGGGGCCCCTTGACACCAGGACTTTAGGAATACAGGCCTCCTCGGGCACCGGGCAGTGGCCATTCTCAGGAATCACCTGCCTCACAGGGGAGGGATGAGGTTGGCGAATGCCCAACTCAACGGAGGGACAACTCCACCAGCAGCAAAAAGAGCTGGGGAAGTCACCTTGGAAATCCTTTTTTTTTTTTTTTTTTTTGAGACAGAGTCTTGCTCTGTCGCCCAGGCTGGGGTGCAGTGGCCGGATCTCAGCTCACTGCAAGCTCCGCCTCCCGGGTTTAGACCATTCTCCTGCCTCAGCCTCCCAAGTAGCTGGGACTACAGGCGCCCACCACCTCGCCCGGCTAGTTTTTTGTATTTTTTTTGAGACGGAGTCTCGCTCTGTTGCCCAGCCCAGGCTGGAGTGCAGTGGCGCGATCTCGGCTCACTGCAAGCTCCGCCTCCCGGGTTCACGCCATTCTCCTGCCTCAGCCTCCCGAGTAGCTGGGACTACAGGCGCCCACAACCGCGCCCGGCTAATTTTTTGTAATTTTTAGTAGAGACGGGGTTTCACCGTGGTCTCGATCTCCTGACCTTGTGATCCGCCCGCCTCGGCCTCCCAAAGTGCTGGGATTACAGGCGTGAGCCACCACGCCCGGCCAGTTTTTTGTATTTTTTAGTAGAGATGGGGTTTCACCGTGTTAGCCAGGATGGTCTCGATCTCCTGACCTCGTGATCCGCCCGTCTCGGCCTCCCAAAGTGCTGGGATTACAGGCTTGAGCCACCGCGCCCGGCCGGAAATTCTCCTTTTAAGAATTTATCGACGCAAGGGGCATTCACGCCCACACAACCCATCTGCTTGTTGTCACACCCACAGCTAAGGCCCAGGCCTATCAGCTGGACCCTGCAGCCCTGGGGGCAGAGTAGAGCCACTTTTTCTCACACAGCTGAAAGAGTCAAGGCTCCCAGAAGCTGTCCATGTACAGGTCAGAGTTTTCAGGACGTGACAACCCCACAACCCTCACAACCGGAGGAAGGCATTTCCCCTCGCCCGAGTGAGGAGGGGGGAATCTCAAGGAAGGTGTATCCTGGTGCAGTTCCCACCCCAGGCCCCATCAGGGACCCCCCCCCCCGCCACCAACGAGCATGTGCACGCGCTGGTGTGTCCCGAGCACCGGGAAGGACGCGGCCCTTGGCATTACCACCACGGGGACGCCTGGCCTCGCCAGGCACCTGGCGTCTCCGCTCCCTCAGCCCGGTCACACACACTGAAAAGGCACGGGAGACTCTGTGAGGCCACGCAGGCCCTCCCTCAGGGGCACCCCACAACACACGGCCAGGCAGGCCGAGGCCACCGTGAGGGCCGGGGGCCAGGCTCCCCTAACACAGCTAAGGGCAAATGTGTCTGCATGCCTAACCCAGGCTGCCTGGGCAGAGCTCACGGAGAAGGAACGCATCAGCCGACCTGTCTCAGTGAAGTCCAGAAAGGCCTAACTCACTAGACCTGAGGAGCTGCCGACGGAAAAACTGCTACGCAGCGACCCCTGTCCCCACCCTGGGCTCAGGGGCGCCCAAAACCACCTGTGCCCAGGCTGGAATCCCGGTCCCTGCACCTGCTTGCTGTGGAGCTTTGGGCTAGTGAAGGGCCTCTCTGCAGGGTGAGAACACCATCCCTCCTCGCAGGTGGCCGTGAGGGTTACGTGCGCTCACACAACAGTGGCACACACAGCTGAGCACAGGTGGCCCGTTCAGGGGACACCAAGGACGGTGTGATCTCGCTCAGGAGGGATGCATGGCAAAAGGCTGGCCCCACAAGGCAGGAAGCTACATAGACTGCTGTGGCAAGGAGACTCATGCTGAAGCCCAGGCCTCCAGAGTCTCAGAGGTGAGCGTACTGGAGACGAGGCCTTCAAAGAGGCAACAGAGTGAAAATGAGGCCCCAGGTGGTGTCCTTACGAGAGGACAGTTGGACACACGGAGGCACCAGGGACACCAGTGTGAAGCCAGGGTAAGGCAGCACCTATAAGCCAAGAGGCCTCCTCGATCCTGATTGCAGCCTCCTGGACTGCGGGGAAACACATTCCTCCCACTGAAAGCCTCCCAGTCTGTGGGGCTTGGTGTCAGCTGGGCCAGCAGGCTACGACAGACTAGGGGGAAGAAGAGCGCAAACGGGGTGCCTCCCCACACAGGGGGTCCGCCCCCAGCTCCCTCTTTAAGGTGTGCCCCATCCCGCACGTCTAACCTAGGCTTCTTTACACTCCCCAGATGAAAGCCGTTCCGCTCCTTTCTGCAGGCTCTGCACGGGGCGGCTGCGAACCCCGGGCCGCCACAGACCCTCAGGCCGCACCCTGCCCGGCACCTGGCCTTCCCACCCAGGCCACGTCATGACCCTCCTTCCTCTCCTCCTGCCGAGGCGTGAAGACCTCGGGCCTGTTCTCCACGCCCCCAGCGCACCTCCATCCACCTCGGCAGCACCCCCAGCAGATAGGCAGGTGCTCAGCCTGTCTACTCAAGGAATGATCCAAGAGGCTGGCGCGACAGCAGGGGCCCGAAGCCAGGAGGCGATGGGGGTGCCCAGAGGACGCTAGTGAGCAGAGGACCGAGTGAGGCCCGACAGCACAGGCCGAGGAGCCCCAAACTGGCCCAAGAGAAGAAAGGCCACGGCAGGAAAACTTCACCAGAAGGAGCAACAGAGCCAGCGGGTGGTCAGGAGGAGCTGGCAGAACGGTCGGACAAGGAGGAAGGTTCCTCCTACAGGGGCAGACCCAGGACAGAGAAGGAAGGAGGAGCTGGTGAAGAACAGGGGCAGGGACCCAGCAGGGGAGGCCCTCCCCAGACCCAGCCTCCACGCAGAGAGCCACACTCACCGATGAGCGTCTTCAGGCACTGGCCTGAGGCGGTGTCCCAGATGCGACTTCAAAGCAAAGAGAACAAAAAAGTGTAAGCAGACAAGTTACGACCTCACGCAGGCTGCTGGGAATCAGATCTAAGTTTTAGGACTAGCATGCTTCCCCCGACTTTTTTTTTTTTGAGACAGAGTTTCGCTCTGTCATCCAGGCTGGAGTGCAGTGGAACAATCTCGGCTCACTGCAAGCTCCGCCTCCTGGGTTCACACGATTCTCCTGCCTCAGCCTCCCGAGTAGCTGGGACTACAGGCGCCCGCCACCATGCCAGGCTAATTTTTTTGTATTCTTAATAGAGATGGGGTGTCACCATGTCAGCCAGGATGGTCTCGATCTCCCGACCTCGTGATCCACCCGCCTCGGCCTCCCAAAGTGCTGGGATTACAGGCGTGAGCCACCCCACTCAGCCTTTCCTATCCTTTTTTTAAAAGTTATGCTTCACCCGTTTAATAGTCATTCTCTTGTATTCTAGGGACAAAGACTAAACACTGTCCATACAAACATCAACGGTCCACACACGCTACACACGCGCAGACCATGTGTGGGGTACCCCTGGATCTCTCCTACATAAGCTGTGGTTTACCCCCAACACAGAGGGGCAAGCCTGTTGCTCTCTCCACTCTCCCTGGCCAAGGAGAGGGACAGCGGCAGCCCAGTGCTTCTCGCAGGCATCTGCCCACGCTCACGCAAACACATACAAGGAATGAGAGGGCTTCTTTCAAAATAAAAATGTAAGAGTATCGTAAGCAGTCTTCTGGACTATTCCCAGAAGGGATGAGCCAGGCATTTACATTATTCCAGTTTCGGGGTTTCTGTGATTTCCGCCAATACAGACGCATTCTGTAAGCAGAGCCCACTGTGTTAGCACCCACAATTCTACTGCACAGATGCCAGCAGCAGAGCACAGGCTCAGGGCAGACGTGGACGAGCCATTCCCAAGCATGAGACCCCTGTGGCCGCCACGCACGGCCCCTCCCATCTCTCACCATGGAGAAGCCGCCTCTGGGAAGGCCCCGGGAGCTCTCTGCTCTGAACACCCACCTCCTGTTCTGCCCACACTTCGATAATCCAGGGACGAGACCACACTGGACCTCAGTCACTTCACCCAGGGTTTTTTTTTTTTTTTTTTGGAGACGGAGTCTCGCTCTGTGGCCCAGGCTGGAGTGCAGTGGCGCGATCTCGGCTCACTGCAAGCTCCGCCTCCCGGGTTCCCGCCATTCTCCTGCCTCAGCCTCCTGAGTAGCTGGGACTACAGGCGCCCGCCACCGCGCCCGGCTAATTTTTTTGTATTTTTAGTAGACACAGGGTTTCACTGTGGTCTCGATCTCCTGACCTTGTGATCCGCCCGCCTCGGCCTCCCAAAGTGCTGGGATTACAGGCTCGAGCCACCGCGTCCGGCCTCACCCAGGGTTTTAAAACCCAGAAGCAGCAACTCTCCTCCCATCTCTGCATCTTCTCAATTCTCTCAGCAACAGCTCCATCCTGCTGCCCCATGGATCTTAAATTCACATCCTCTAGCTCCGCAATCACTGCAGCAGGGCCTCTCCGGAGCCGCCTCATCTCCTAACCCTCAAGACCTGACCCCCGTGTGTCCTTTCAGTTCCGTTTCTCATTTCCTGCATAGGTCCTGCTCCTTCTTGCTAGCCACATTCCTAAACATCTTAGCATTTTTGTCACAGTTAAAATGGAAACATTTTTCCCTTCTTCTAGCTGGCAATTCCTAGTAAAGAGAAAAACAGTCAATTTTCGGCCGGGCGCGGTGGCTCACGCCTGTAATCCCAGCACTTTGGGAGGCCGAGATGGGCGGATCACGAGGTCAGGAGATCAAGACCATCCTGGCTAAAACGGTGAAACCCCATCTCTACTAAAAAATACAAAAAAAAAACTAGCCGGGTGAGGTGGCGGGCGCCTGTAGTCCCAGCTACTCGGGGGAGGCTGAGGCAGGAGAATGGCATAAACCCGGGAGGTGGAGCTTGCAGTGAGCTGAGATCTCGCCACTGCACTCCGGCCTGGGCAACAGAGCAAGACTCCGTCTCAAAAAAAAAAAAAAAAGTCAATTTTCAAGCACTGATGGCACTAAACGCGAGATCACACCACACAGCCAGCAGGGCTGGGGGTTCCAGGCCCAGACTCCAGAGCTGACACGGGGTCTGGGTCCTGCGCTGACCAACTGAGAGACCGTGGTACGTGTCCCTGGCTGAAAAGCAAGGCTGACAGTACCCACGTCACAGGGTTAAATGGGTATTTGAAAAGCAGTGTTGGTGGCATTTAAATATTTGAAAACACGCAAACATATCTACAAAGATGTATATCTCTCTTCAACTTTCATAGGACTTTTTTTTCATTTTCTTACACTAACTAGAAACTCCTAACAGTGCTGAGTAACACGGGAAACATTCACACCTGTCCCACTTCGGATTTTCACAGAAATAGTTTTAGCGTGTCACCACACGTGAAAATTATTAGTTACCAGTAAGTAGTCAACAATACTGCTCCATCTCGCCGAAGGGTTGGCTGCTGGGTATTATCAATCAGGCGCCTTTCTGACCTCTACTGATTAATCACAGGGACATTTAACGCCTTTAATCTGTCGGCAGAATTAGATCATAGGTTTCCTGATGTTTACTTGATAATCCTTTCATTATCCAATAACGAATGTTGAATTACTTGTCCTGATGTTTACGTGATAATCCTTTCATTATTCAATAATGTTGCATTACTTGGCTGTGGGAATTCCTTTCTGGGCACGGTAGGCTCAGGAGGCTGCTACTTCCTCTGGAATCCTGGCATCAACATTCACCAGTGAGTTGCCCTCTGTGGTTTTCCTCTGGGACCAGCAATCAAGGCTCAGGTAGCAAGGTCATGCTAAATCCAAGAAAATGAACCAGGGAGCTCCCTCCCGTCTGTGGTCTGTCTGCTATTTAACTGGATTCAGGTATAAAGTCACAGGGAATGATGTTCTCTTTAGGCCTTCGATCCCCTTTTCCAGTCTCTTCAGCGGTGACTGGTCCCTCGAGGTGCCATGCCCGGGGCCCCTTTAGGAGCTGTAGCGAGCTCACTGCTGGAGCCGAGGCACTGCTCAGCCTGGATGAGAGTCTTCTGACTACCGCTTCCTCCCCCTGCAGTGCTTCCACCCACTTCCTAGTTAAAATCTTGCTTATTTTGCTTTTCCCATTATGGGGCTTAAAAGGTTTTCATTACCAGCCTCATCGAAGAACACACCTTATATCATCAATGGTCTCATTTGTTTTCCATTTCCCTCCTCATTTCCTTGGTGTACTTTTTCTGATTTCTTTAGAAAGTTCTTAGAGCCAGGTCCATGAGTAATTCTGAGACTGTCCCGTGCTCACTTCTGTTGGTGACACACACACAGAGGTGCCGGGATGGTGGCACCAAAGGCCCTGGCAGCTCCACGCTCCCCCATAGCTCACCCTGTGCACCCCTTCCCTCTGGCTGTTCCTGAATTGTATCCTTTATAATAAGCTGGTAAATGGTCAAGTGTAAACAATGGCTTTAACCGTGGACACTACTGGCCAATGTTGGGCTCCAGATGACCTAATTTTTGCCACAGCACTTTCCAGTGACCTCAGCCCCAAATGCCATCACAGTGCTGCAACTGCATCTTGAACCTCGCGAGGCGATGGCCCGGAAGTGTGTGCTGCAGAGCCCATGGGAGGCCGGGCCGGTGGTCGGGTGCAACTCGACTACGACCCTCTCCCACCACACCCGTCTACTCAAAACCGACGGGGGGTCATGCCTGGCGACTACAGACTGTGACCCCCGGGGATCCCCATGCCAACAGTCACTGGGGAGTCAGACCAGGAAAGAGATTTCAAGTGTGCGTGTCCACCTGAGGGCTCCCTGCAGGAAGTCCTAGTAAGATCTTCAATTCCGCCGGTGGCTGCCCCTGTCCCCCTCCTCCCTAGAGACCAATCTGAACAAGTTATGATGCTGTCCGCCCCACACCCAAAACACAACCCAAACACTCCACTCCCCGCACTCGCTCCCATCAGACATTTCGCTGAGTTAACTCTACTTCTCCACTGCCCTTGTGTCTCCCGAGGAGTGCTGGACACAGATTACCAAGTCCCAGCACTACAAACGTCTGCTGAGACCTAGGTGGGCTTTCCGCAGGAGACCGTCACTCTTCCTCCTGCCCTTCTCCACACTGCCATCTGCTCGGGCTCGCCTGCCCGGCATGGTGACGCGTCCTCACGGGCATGGTGGCACACTCAACATCCCCCCAAAGCAGCACAGCTTTCACCTCAAGGGGTCCAAACACCCATTTTCCACGAGTGTGTGAACAGCACACGTCAGCGTCTACATGGAGCTGAAGTCTGATGGAGGAGGCCCTCCCTGACCCACCCTAACAGCAAGGGCATCTTCCCAGGCACGCCGCCTCGCCACCTGTGCTGCCAACCCCGAAACTGCACTGCGTATCTGTGAACACGTCTGCAGTGTGGCCAGCAGAGAAGCTTCGGAAGTTAAGGACTTGGGTCTGTCGTCACTGCTGTACCCCCAGATGCAGGAACGGTGCAAGGGCTGGCCCTTAGTAAAGTACTCATTGCTTAATGAAGTAAAATATTTTCACTTACCAGAGACCATCATAGCTACTTGAAACTATCAAGGATCCATCACGATTAAAATGAACCTAAGAATTAAGGAGAGGGAGAAGAGACAAAAACTTACTTTCAAGTCATGGACACGACTGCTTCTTACCTGATCGCGAGAAAAAAAAAACAAAAACAAAAATTGAGGTATCTTTTTTTGTTTGTTTTCAGAAAGAGTCTCCCTCTGTCACCCAGGCTGGAGCACGATCTCAGCTCACTGCAACCTCCGCCTCCCGGGTTCAAGTGATTCCCGTGCCTCAGCCTCCTGAGTAGCTGGGATTACAGGCACACGCCACCACGCCCAGCTAATTTTTGTATTTTTTTTTTTTTTAGTAGAGACTGGGTTTTATCATGTTGGCCAGCCTGGTCTTGAACTCTTGACCTCAAGTGATCCACCCGCCTCGGCCTCCCAAACTGCTGGGATTACAGGCGTGAGCCACCGCGCCCACCTCTTTTTTTTTTTTCTTTCCTTTTTTTTTTTTTTTATACGGAGTCTCGCTCAGTCACCCAGGCTGGAGTGCAGTGGCGCGATCTCGGCTCACTGCAAGCTCTGCCTCCCAAGTTCACGCCATTCTCCTGCCTTAGCCTCCCAAGTAGCTGGGACTACAGGCGCCCGCCGCCACGCCCGGCTAATTTTTTGCATTTTTAGTAGAGATGGGGTTTCACCGTGTTAGCCAGGATGGTCTCGATCTCCTGACCTCGTGATCCGCCCGCCTCAGCCTCCCAATGTGCTGGGATTACAGGCGTGAGCCACCGCGCCCGGCCCTTTTTTTCTTTTCTTAATAAGAGAAACAGGGTCTCCCTATCTTGCCCAGACTGGTCTTGAACTCCTGAGCTCACATGATCCTCCCACCTTGGTCTTCTAAAGTGCTAGGAGTACAGGCATGAGCCACTGCACCCAGCCAAGGATAAGCCTTCTCACAAGCAAACAGCACCTTTGGAAACTGCATTGTCTCAGGCTATTGGTGCTGATACATTTCCTGGGTGAAGTCAAGTCACACAAGGAAGCCATGGTTTAATGATTTGGGTATGGGACTGAGGTTGTCTGCTTCTACTGTCCAGACTGGAGTTTCCCAGCCTTGGCACTATTGACATTTTAAACCAGACTCTTCCAGGGGGGAAGGGGTGGTGCTGCCTCTGTGCAGTGGCAACCTTTTCTTTTGCTCACTAGATGCCTATAGTTGTGACAACCAAAAATGTCTCCAGACATTGTCATGTGTCCCCAGAGGCAAATCCACACGTATCAAAGGCACCTGTGAGTTGCTACGGCAGACTGCAAGGCCCCATCCCCAGGGCTTCGGATTTGACCAGTCCAGGTGGGAGAGTCCAAGAACGTAAATTTCGAACAGGTCCCGGGGGCATGCTGCCTGCTGCTGCACGCCCGGAGAAGCACTAGGCCAGACTCTGCGAGAGCCTGCCAGCCACATGTGTCATTGTAATTGTTCTAGAAGCTACATTAGAAAAGCTTAAAAGACAAGTGGGCCGGGCGCAGTGGCTCACGCCTGTAATCCCAGCACTTTGGGAGGCCGAGGCGGGCGGATCAGGAGGTCAGGAGATGGAGACCATCCTGGCTAACACGGTGAAACCCCGTCTCTACTAAAAAAAAATACAAAAATAATCTAGCCAGGCGAGGTGGCGGGCGCCTGTAGTCCCAGCTACTCGGGAGGCTGAGGAAGGAGAATGGCGTAAACCTGGGAGGCGGAGCTTGCAGTGAGCTGAGATCCGGCCGCTGCACTCCAGCCTGGGCGACAGAGCGAGACTCCGTCTCAAAAAAAAAAAAAAAAAAGACAAGTGAAATTACTTTGATAACGTGTAACCCAATGTATCTAAAATATTATTTCAACGCAATCAACACAAAGTTATTACAAGACACTTTTTTTTGCGCCAGGTCTCTGAAATCTGCAGGTACCTCACACAGGCCTGAGCTCTGGGCCATCATGCGGCTGGCAGCCTCCATGCTGGGCATGCTGGGTGCTGCGGCCCTAGATGTTCTCCAGCAGACCGAGAGGGGCGAGTACCTGTTTCCGCTCTGACAGGGTGCTCTCACGGTGCCAGGTGCCTAATCATAACCATGTGGCTGGCAGCCTCTCAAAGTACTTTTCTAACTCACAGGGATCCATCTAACCACATTCGTCCCTGCCTTTAATGTGCAAAAAAAGTCTTTTCTTCAGGAGGCTGAGGCAGGAGAATGGTGTAAACCCGGGAGGCGGAGGTTGCAGTGAGCTGAGATCCGGCCACTGCAGTCCAGCCTGGGTAATAGAGCAAGACTCCGTCTCAAAAAAAAAAAAAAAAAAAAAAAAAGTCTTTTCTTGAGACCATTACGATGGATGGTAATAAGACAAAACAAGTCCCCAAAACTCACAAGGACAACTCCATGCTTTGCTTTGTTCAGCTTCTTAACCACATTCCAATACTACCCACTGGCAAACATGGCCCAGCTCTGCCATTCCATCCACATTCAGGTGCAAGGGGCAATACAGCCCATCCCCTGCATTCTAGCAGAAGGCTGCCAGAAGAGTTCAGTGCTAGGAAGTAGATAAGAGAGGCCGGACACGGTGGCTCACGCCTGTAATTCCAGCACTTTGGGAAATCGAGGTGGGCGGAACACTTGAGGCCAGGAGTTCGAGACCAGCCTGGCCAACATGGTGAAACTCTGGCTCTACAAAAAAATACAAAACTTAACCAGGCGTGGCATGAACCTGTAGTACCAGCTACTCAGGGGAGCTGAGGCAGGAGAATCACTTGAACCCAGGAGGTGGAGGAGGCAGTGAGCCAAGATCACGCCACTGCACTCCAGCCTGGGCAACAGAGTAAGACCCCGTGCCCAAAAAGAAAAAAAAAAAAAAAAGACCCAGCACTTAGGGAGGCCGAGGCGGGCAAATCACGAGGTCAGGAGATCAAGACCATCCCGGCTAACACAGTGACACCCTGTCTCTATAAAAACTACAAAAAAAATTAGCCAGGCGCGGTGGGGGGCGCCTGTAGTCCCAGCTACTCGGGAGGCTGAGGCAGGAGAATGGCGTGAACCCGGAAGGTGGAGCCAAGATCATGCCACTGCACTCCAGCCTGGGCAATAGAGCGAGACTCCGTCTCAATAAATAAAAAAATAAGTATTAAAACAAAAAGGAAATAGATAAGGAAATCAGCCAGAACCCAGCAGGGGATGGCAAGGCCCCTAGCCAAGGAGCACTCCAAGGGCTCTGTGGAGTCCACCTGGGCAGACAAGCAGTAGCAGAAGCTCCAGGGCAGGAAAAACACAGGTCCCAGGTGCAACGAGGGCGCGAGGGCTGTGGCTGACGGCGGTTGGCAGCGACCCTCAGCTGAGGAGCCCTGGCCAGAGAGGGCAAACCCTGGCCAGAGATGGGACAGGGATGGGAGGCAGTAAGCAGGGGGCCACGTGCCTCAAAGTCTCTAAAGCTCCAAAATGTACCTGTCAAAAAGCTAAACACATATCCTGACTACTGCATTTCCCCTCCAAAGTCATCCTTCACAAACTGCCACAGATGCAAACAGGATGTTCGCTGCACTCCTTTTTGTTCAAGTGAGAATTACACATAAGCACCCACTGAGAGGACTGGCACAGTCCCTGCTCACACAGCAGGCCCACACCAGCAGTCCAAGAGTATAGATGTGCGCAGACATCAAAGGTGCCCCAGGACAGACACGGTGGCTCCCGCCGTATCTAGACTTTGGCCAGGGACACTTGAGCAGGAGATAGCCAGCTGCCATGGTAAACCTGCTCTAATCATGTCAGCCGGTGCTCAGCCTGTAATCCAGCACTTGGGAGGCCGAGACGGGGTCACGAGGTCAGGAGATGACCATCTGCAACACGGTGAAACCCCGCTCTACAAAAATACAAAATAGCCGGCGAGATGGCGGGGCCTGTAGTCCCAGGGAGGCTGAGGCAGGAGAATGGCGTAAACCCGGGAGGCGGAGCTTGCAGTGAGCTGAGATCCGGCCACTGCACTCCAGCCCGGGTGACAGAGCGAGACTCCGTCTCAAAAAAAAAAAAAAAAAAAAAAAAAATTAGTCAGTCGTGGTAGTGGGCACCTGTAATCCCAGCTATTCGGGAGGCTGAGGCAGGAGAATCACTTGAACCCAGGAGGCAGAGGTTGCGGTGAGCCAAGATCGCACCACTGCACTCCAGCCTGGGCAACAGAGTGAGACTCCATCTCAAAAAAAAAAAGAAAAAACAAAGCCCCCACAAACCTCTCTGCAGTGGAGACGGCTACAGAGCAGCAGCTGTGGTGCAGTACCAGTTACTTAAAGGACAGCAGTGAGCTACGCTGGAAAAGACGCACCTAAAACAGCAAAGTAGAAGACCACAGAGGGACCGACTCCACCTCCCAGCAGCTGACCCCAGGGGTGACTCAGGGAATTCATTTTCTACTTCCTACATTTGCTCACCTTTGTAGGTTTTTTTGTTTTGTTTTGTTTGTTTTTTTGTTTTTTTTTTTTTTTGAGATGGAGTCTCGCTGTGTCGCCCAGGCTGGAGTGCAGTGGCCAGATCTCAGCTCACTGCAAGCTCTGCCTCCCGGGTTTTTACGCCATTCTCCTGCCTCAGCCTCCCGAGTAGCCGGGACTACAGGCGCCCGCCACCTCGCCCGGCTAGTTTTTTTTTGTATTTTTTTAGTAGAGACGGGGTTTCACCGTGTTAGCCAGGATGGTCTCGAACTCCTGACCTCGTGATCCGCCCGTCTCGGCCTCCCAAAGTGCTGGGATTACAGGCTTGAGCCACCGCGCCCGGCCTTTTTTTTTTTTTTAAGACATGGGGTCCCACTCTGTCACCCAGGCTGGAGTGCAGTGGTACCATCTTGCTCACCAGAGCCTCAAACTCCTGAGCCCAAGCAATCCTCCCACCCTGTCCTCCCAAGTAGCTGGGACCACACGTGCACACCACCACGTCTGGCTAATTTTTTGCTTTTTGTATAGAGACAGGGTCTCACTCTGTTGTCCAGGCTGGTCTCAAACCCCTGGTCTCACGGGATCCTCCTGCCTCAGCCACCCAAAGTGCTGGAGTTACAGGTGGGAGCCATGGCACCCAACCTGTTTTTGTTTTTGTCTTTTTATGAGCAAACTACTCTTGTAGGAAAAAGACTTTTAAAATCCTGCCTATCACCTGCGAGTCCCACCTGCACTATCTTTGGCCTCTAGGATGCTCATGGAATTCTTTCTTCCAACTCAAAGGCCACCAGCGAACCCCTTTCTCAGGTTACTTCACAAGTGTTCATTTGTCAGCCCAGTCTGAAAGTCAGTTCTGCTGACTGTGACCCAAGGTGCCCTGAAGGGCAGGGGACTGGCACCAAGGGGCTGGGCCCACGAGCACACAGCCACAAGCACAGGGCCACATGATGACATTCCCACAGCAAACAGCCTCCCTGCAGCGGTGACACTGGGCCTGCGAGGGCCTTGTGGCCCGGTTATGTGCGGGGCTCAGACACCGCACCCCGCCCTGGCCTGACACACTACCCATCCAGCCAGTACCAGGGCTTCGCCTGCCATCTCACTCGGGCAAAGCCTTGCAAGGGTAAAAATGCTTAAACCCATTCACCACCAAGACAACAGAAAATGAATGCCACACTGGCGGGCAGCATGGCACAAACGCTGCATCCACCTTTCCTTCCGCTTCTCATCGAAGGGCAGGCTTCGCCGAGAAACTGCCTCATGCACTTTGTTAACAGAAGAACCTTCTGGCCACTCTGAAATGGAGCGGTTTGTGATACTGCATACACTTTAACTCTCGGCCATTTGTTCTTGTTTTCTTCTTTTTAGACGGAGTTTCGCTCTTGTTGCCCAGGCTGGAGTGCAGTGGCACGATCTCGGCTCACTGCAACCTCTGCCTCCCAGGTTCAAGCGAGTCTCCTGCCTCAGTCTCCCCAGGAGCTGGGATTACAGGCGCTCACTACCACGCCCAGCTAATTTTCATAGTTTTAGTAGAGACGGGGTTTCACCATGTTGGTCGGGCTGGTCTCAAACTTCTGACCTCAAGTGATCCACCCACCTCGGCCTCCTAAAGTGCTAAGATTACAGGCGTGAGCCACCATGCTCGGCCTCTCGGTCATTTGTTTTGCACAGTGGTACAGCAACAGCAGAATGGCAGGATGTGTTCCTTTGCAAAGCCTGTTCTCCAGAGAGCTCCAGCTTCCAACTGTTCCCACCAGGACTGGGCCATCCCCGCCCAGAGCTAACTCCACTCAAAACTCACACTTCACCTACACTCCCACTCCCAGCACCCTTCTCAGCCTGGCCGCCCTTCCTGTCCCATGCATCAGTTCAGGGTACACTACCCTCTGAACGCCTGTGGCCACTGCCCACCCCCCATCCAGCCTGCACGAAAGGCCCCTTGGTGCTCACCACAGGGCACCCCACTGACACCTCACCACCCCCTTGCCATCCCTCTACTGCACACAGGACTCATCTCTCAGGTCCCAGCCTCCAACCTGATTGCTCTAGACTGTGGCATGACAGCAGGAATCAGATAGGCACAGGCAACGTCCAGGCTTACGCCCCTCGGGGAGACAGCTGGCCACATCCAGCATCAGAGGCACGTAGTGCCGGACACCACCCCGTCTGTGTCAGCAGGACTTACGGCCGAGACTGGATCCGAGTGAGCTGGCAAAGTCTTGAGGCACTTCCCTGTTTTCACATCCCATATCCTCACACTTTCATCAAACTGAACACAAAAGAAGAAATGACAGTGATTCTACAGGAAGGAGAAGGAGCAAACCTCCCCGGAACCCAAGACCTGCCACCAGTCCATCCTCCCCACAAACAGCACAGAAAGGACTCGGGCCCCACCTGCCTTCTCCACAGTGGCTACAAGCAAGTTCAACAGCCTTCCCAACATCCAACACCACCTCCCCCAGGGAAGACACCCCGGCCACACTCACGGATCCTGAGACAATAAGGTTGGACTGGGGATTGAAGTTACAGCAAAAGACATAATTACTGTGTCCCTTCAGGGTTTTCAAACACTTCCCCTAAAACAAGAGTATTAGTAGTATTACTCCAGTGCTTATTTCCCCAAACATAAGTGTCGGATCACATTCATCAATGCCTGACAGCTCAGAGCATGCCTGATGCCCCGCCAGCAACTGGCTGTTCCCCGAAGTCAACTCGACCTCCCCCACCCGCCCCCGCCCCGTGCCCCTGCAGCCAGTCTTCCCTGGAGAGGAGCACTGAGTGCTGCTTACCGAGCAGTCAACCCAGTCCCCACCACCCGCCCTGTGCCCCGCTGCCGGTCTCCCCTGGAGAGGAGCGCTGAGTGTTGCTTACCGAGCTCACGTCCCATATCTTCAAGGTTTTGTCATCTGAGGCGGAAACAAGAAGGTTAGAATCTGACGACCAGGCTACATCGGATATTCCCTTGGGGAGAAAAAACAGGGTCAGTAACTTGCCAGGACAAAGTAGGACCGGTTAGCAAAAGGTCAAAATCCCAAACATCTCCATTGCCCTCAGGAAATCTTCTCACTAGCCTTAACCTTACAAAAGACACGCGGCCCTGGAGGAAAACAGCAGGCTTTCCACAGCTCTGCCAGCCTCACAGACACTCCTCCGTGGGAAGTCAAATGTATTTGCGTTAAAAGTTCAAGATGCAAATAACTCTAAAAAAACAACGTGGAAATTTAAATCTGAACCCACAGCTCTCGAAGCAGCCCTGACCCCTTGATCACTAGGAGCCACCCTGTTCAACAGTCAACATTACCGCACGGGGCTGAAACCTACCAGCTTGTGGCCAGATATGGTTTTCTCAAATTTCCCATCATACGCGCCCCAAATTTTAATGAGTTTATCAGCGGCTGAAAGAAAACAAAAGGATCTGAGGCTAAGAGCAAGACACAGTTGTCCAGTCATCCAGAATCCAAAGTCTGGGCTTTTCCCACATGAGCCCCAGATGATCAGCATGAACCACATGGCTCAGAACCCATTCCGCACGGCCACATCCCCGAGAGGACCAGTCCCCTTCCCCTCCCTCCAAGGGCCCACGGGCAACTTCTTCTATTTCTTTTTTCGTTTTTTTGAGACGGAGTCTCGCTCTGTCACCCAGGCTGGAGTGGAGTGGCATGATGTCGGCTCACCGCAACCTCCACCTTCCGGGTTCAAGTGATTCTCCTGCCTCAGCCTCCCAAAAGCTGGGACTACAGGCATGTGCCACCATGCCTGGCTAATTTTTTTTTTGTATTTTTAGTAGAGACGGGGTTTCACCACATTGGCCAGGCTGCTCTCAAACTCCTGACCCTGTGATCCACCCGCCTCAGCCTCCCAAAGGGCTGAGATTACAGGTGTGAGCCACCACGCCCAGCCCCCACGGGCAATTTCAATCGGCACTAAGGTCACAGTTCTAGGAGGAGACACGCCCACCTGCTACAGCCCCCCAGCGGCAGGTGAGGAAGCCAGCCACCCCCAGCCGGTTTGTTGTCTGCAGCTCAGACCGCCTTTCCCAGCAGCTAAGGACCTCAGTGCTACGTACATGAACTTGCCAGCCACTCTCCATTCGGGCTGAATTTCACAGAGGACACTGCTTTGGTGTGGCCAGCAAGGGTGAACTTTAGAGCATAGTTTGGCTTCACGGGTGTAGGCTGCGGGAGAGACCAGTTAGCGAAAAGTTACCACCACTGTGCGTTCCACTCGTGACCAGTTTGGATTGTGACTCCAGCATTTAATTTCGGCTCAGATCTTTAGAGCTCCAAATCCACATGCCCAGTGCCTTCCACCAATCCCTATGTGCACGTCACCTTTCAAGTGGAACACATCTGAATCTGAGCCCACTACTTCCCCACAAGACCTCTTCTGTAGTCCCCAAACTCAGTACCAACAGCACCAGCCGAGCCAGAAACGTCTGAGGCCCCCTCAATGTATCACCCCACCTCAAGCCCACCTCTGATCCTGCTACAACACAGGAGGCCCCCACCAGCTCCAGCCTTGGTCCAGCGTCCCACTGCCCCCACCCCACACATACCCGAGGCCCTGCTCCCTTTGCTAAAGGTCTACAGGAGGGCTTGCAGATCTGCCTGTGCCTCAGGATCGCAGCCGGGGTGGGGGCAACTATGGAGAGATTTTTTCTGGGTCCTAGAGACTCTCACAATCAGGACCGAGAATCTGTTCCCTCCTCCAGGTGACAGACTGGGGATTCCTGGCACTCATTACAGGTAACAAGCACTCATTAGGTATGTGGTCAGTAAATCAAAATTAGCAGTGACATTTAACTGAGTAGGGAAGACAAGGCTTATGAGCTTGAAACGTTTCCAAGAATCTCTAAGCATATTTGCCCCCGGAAGGCGCCCAAGGAGCCCCTGGGCACGCACCTTGCTCTGAGTGGCGGATGACGAAGGGGTTGGCTGTGCTCTGGCAGCCTCGGTCTCGGGCTTCTTCTCCTCCGTTGCCATGGCTCTGACGCTGGCCGCACAAGGAACGTGGACGGAGGGACCTGGTGACAGAGGAAGTCTGCTGAGATGCAGAGCAGGAAGCCAAGAAACAAACCATATTTTTAAAAATTGATTTCCAGGAAAAAGGACGAAAAGAAAAACATTTGAGTACCATATTGAGCCCTGCAGCAAACAAACCATTCCAAATCGAGGACCCTATTAATGACCCTAAGTCGTTGCTAATACTTTCCAGCTGCTCCGCTGACACCCTGTGCTCGCCCCTTTTGTGATCACACTGAAACACCTCACCCTCAAGGGCGCTTCTTATTTTGTCATCCAGAAGTCTGCAGGAATGCAGCAGTTTGTGCAAACAAAATGCAATTTTCTTCAGAGTCCTGGACACATTAAAAAAAGAACGGCAAAGGGTTTCCTGACAGAAAGCTAACACGCCAAATGGCAGATGACTGAGCTTCAGAGTGTAGAAGTTTGGCAGCACATCCAAATCCTAAAATGCACCCCAAGTGATGCAATCACGTTCACAGACATGTTTGAAAACACAGGCGCAGGCACCCAGTGGTCTACGCCTCATGGGTGGGCTCCAGCGCCTCCATGCACAGGCTGCAGGCGCGTGCATGCTCTGCCTGCTGGAACTTCCACGTCCTGCCTTCTGAAAAAGCAGCCGCAAGTCCACCAACGATATTCTACGAGCAAGACTCACACTGCAGGGGAATGAAAAAAGACTGCAGTTCAATGGGTTTCACCTTGACAGTGAAAATGACCCCAAATCTGTACAGTAAGCAGCTAGTTTCCTCTACCACGGGAATAGATTCATTACTTGAACACATCTCATAAAAGCACAACAGGTTACTCAGAAAGGAGGGACGGCGTTATTAAAAGGGAAAGCCACTGAGACACGCTTGCAAATACCACTGGCCATCGGAATCCTGGAAGCTAGCGCTACCATCCATCTAACAAGTTTACACACTGGAAATTCTAGCTTGGAGCTTTCAACTGAAATCTTGCACAGGCTGCTTGTAACACTAACGCGAAATGGAAGGCATCAAAAAGCACGTCTCAAAGTCTTCATCCAAGAGGAAGGCAGAGAAATTACAACACCCACTTTGCAGAGAACAGGTGTGGCCACCGCTCCATTTCACCTGCAGCAAGGATTCTCTGCGCAAAGACGGATTGCGCTGCATCTAGGGCCGAGTACTGTACAAGAGTGGGGGAGGGGAGGGGCAGGCCCTGTAGCACTGCCCAGGGGACGAAGTGCCAGTACAAAACCTGTCCTCAGTAAATGCCAGCTACGTGGTGCTTGTCATCAGTGCAACCTGGCCATGCCAGTTTAACCCAACTGCTGCCTTTTCCTTGGCAGGCTGGACAAATACAAGGAGAGAGAGGAACTAAGGAAATCCAAGCAAAAAGCTGCAAAGTCCACTGCAAAGGTCCTAGCGTGAGACAGCGAGGCCAGGGCAAAAGCTGAGTGAAGTGTGGCCATGCTCTACCCAAGTGAAACACCAGAGGAACAGAAGGTGAAACAGGCAGCTCAGAGGGCCGAGCAGCTCCCGTCAGCATCAACTCACCTAGGTGAGGGTAGACACCTGGAAACACCCTCACGTGAGGAACAACAGGTAGGCGGTCTTACAAAAAAGGTGCCCAGCCCCTCCCAGCTCAAGCCCAACCTGCCCAACCCTTTGGGCTCAAAAACCATTAACATTTAAAAGAAACAAACAAAACAACCTTAACCTGACTTTTAAGAATACAGTGGCAGGGTGTGGTGACTGACGCCTGTAATCTCAGCACTTTGGGAGGCCAAGGCAGGAGGCGGGCAGATCCTGAGGCCAGGAGATAAAGACCAGCCTGGCCAACATGGAGAAACCCCGTCCCAACTAAAAATACAAAAATTAGCCGGTGTGGTGGCGGGTCCCTGTAATCCCAGCTACTTGGGAAGGCTGAGGCAGAAGAATCGCTTGAAATTGGAAGGCAGAGATAGCAGTGAACCAAGATTGCACCACTGCACTCCAGCCTGGGCCAAAGAGTGAAAAATTCCGTGGTGGTGGTGGTAGGGGGAGAGATGCAATTTATTGACCCAACACACCTGCCAAGTTTCTACCTCAGTAGTGGCATCTAGGCTTGGCATTTTTTTTTTTTTTTAAGACAGAGTCCAAAGAGTCCAGCGGAACGATATCGGCTCACTACAACCTCCACCTTCCGGGTTCAAGTAATTATTGTGCCTCAGCCTCCTGTGTAGCTGGAATTACAGGTGCATACCACTACACCCTGCTACTTTTTTGTATTTTTAGTAGAGACAGGGTTTCGCCATGTTGCCCAGGCTGATCTCGAACTCCTGACCTCAGAAAATCCGCCCGCCTCAGCCTCCCAAAGTGCTAGGACTACAGGCGTGAGCCACCGCGCTGGGCCAAGGCTTGGCATTTTCATGACCAACCAGGTGTCTCTGTGGAACAATCATTTTGAGGGAACAGGAAGGTTGGAGACTTGATACTGAGGAAAGGGGGGGGACCGAGGTTACAGGCACGGTGATGAGGAGGTGACCTCTAGACCAGCTGCTGCCTGGCTCCACCTAGCAGCCACTGCTTTTCATCCAGGTAAGCCTGACCACCTGAAGCCCAGCAACCAAATCTCAGTATGGCCTCCTGGACTGCATGCCACAGGCTGATGCCTGAGTCCCTCAGTCCCTGAGATCCAGCCCAGGAACCTGCCTGCGGCGTGCAGTCAGGAGAGCACACTGTGTGCAAAGACAAGAATTAATCTGCATCTTCAACACCAGCCAGGTGGCCAGCCCAACACAGGTGGGAACCCGGCTCTACCTCTCTGAGATCCTGGACAGGCTCCCGCCTGGGTCCTTCGCTTACCTGTCTTCCCCACCGGCTAGCACAGCACCTGCCCAGGTCACAGATTAAACTAGCATTTGAAGAGATGGGTAAACGGACCTGGGTGAGTGGAAACTTGCAAGCGAGACAGCAGGGAGTGTCGTTAGCGATAAATAACAGGCCGACCTCAGTTTGGTCCCGGAACGTAACCGCTCAAAATGGCTCTCGCAGATCGGCCAGGACAGGTCTGCGGCCCCGCGCGAGGAGGCACGGTGGGCCCCCCGTTTAGGACCGAGGACCCGCACCCCAGGACCCCACCTAGCGAACTGCAGCCTGGCTGCCTCGGGTTGGGGTGAGCGGCGGGAGCGGGCTGGGGGCGTTTCTACGAGGAGGGGAAGCGCACCACGTCCAGGGACTGAGTGGCTTGGTGGGTCTGGGGTCCTTCCTTGAAGGGGCAGAGGAGGAAGAGGGGCGATGTGAGGCCGGTACGCCGCCTGCGGGAAAGAGGCCCCAGTGCCGGCGCTCTGGCCTTGTCAGTGGCCCGCCGGTGAAGCGGAGGTGGGGGCGCGAGTGGGGGCGGACGGGGTGGAGGGACCTACGCGCGCAGCCGTCCACCCAGGGGCCAGGGCGGGGGTCCCGGGCGGGGCCGCTGCAGCTGGAGCAGCGCCCGGGGCTGGGCCTGGCCCGAGGCCCGGCGGGGAACACGTGCGGCGGCCAGGGGTGGTTTGGCGGCTCCTGGCGCCGCCCCGCTGCCCGCCTTGCGCTCCCCGGGCCGGGCGGCTACCCGCTTACCTGCCGGGCCGCGGCGGCGGGGCCGGGCGCTCGGGGCGTCGCGTCGGCCGCCGCCTGGGCGGGAGCGCGGACTCAGCTCGACGAGGCGGCAGCTCGGGCGGGCGCCAGGCGGCGGGGGCGCAGTGCGCGTGCGCGAGGGGAGGGGGGCGGTGTCCGGGGGGCGGGGCGAGCTCACAAAGCCGGCCTCTCGGAGGAGCGCTACGGGCAGCGGCAGCGGCCAGAATGCCTCGGGCCGGCCCAACGCTTTAAAGGGACAGCACGGGGCGCGTGCTTCCCGCTTAAAAGCTTTAATCCCCGAATTTGGCTGGTGCAGGCCCTCCTAATGTACTTCCTAAAAATTGAAGTATAATGATACATACAGGAAAGTGCTAGTGTGCCCTCGCGTTTCCACAGACAGCACGCCCTGCACACAGACACAAGCGGCTCTCCGGGACCTGCGCAGATGGCGTCGCCCGGCGTTGTCCCCGGAGTCAAGTCGGACCGGGGCACCTCCCCGGGCGACCAGGCCCCTTCTTGATCATCGCTGGTACGGATGAGAGCAGCAGTGGGCATTTGGAAAACACCCGGGACCGCTCCCGGGCGCAGTGCCCCCATGTGGCCTCCCACCCCAGGCGGGTAGGACGACTCCTGCCCATTTGGAAGACCAGGAACCTGCGCGTTCGTTCACAGGGTTCGGAAGCCCGGGCTGCGCCTTCCCGCGGGGCCGGCTGCCGGGCTGCGGGCTCTTCCCGCCTCTGCATGCAGAGCCTGCGGTGCACGAACCTGCTCCCCGCCAGCCCCGCGGACTGGCAGAGCCGCGCTGGAGTCACTCCGCAGTGCGCAAACTCACTTCGCAGCGGGCTCTCTGGGGGCCAACCCTTCCCTCCTGGGCGGGCATTTTCTCCTCCAGGTACAACGGGGTGGTCCCCAGAGGAGGACTCAGGGTCTTAAGGAGAAGCTGAGGCCCGGTGCTCTGGCCTCGACGACTGCACATTCTCGCCTACTTCACTTCGTAGAGCCTTGGAGGTAGGCACGGCCTCCCTATCCCCTCAGCTAGGCCTGTGGGTAGAAAAAAAAAAAAAAAAAAAAAAAAAAAAAAAAAAAAAAAAAAAAAAAAAAAAAAAAAAAAAAAGGCCTGTGGGTAGAAAAACGCAGTCCCTTATTCTCCAATTAAAAATGGGAACACAGAATGTGACACAGGGCTCTCCCTTCCACCCCGCCTCAGCTCTCAGATCGTCCACTTCTCTCCCTCCTCACCCCAGCCCTACCTCCCACCCGGGTCTTTTTTAAACCTGCAGACAGAGAAACTCCTAAAAATCCAGCTCTGATCTGTCACTCCCCAGTTTAAAACTCAGAACCAGCTTCCCATTGTCCTCAATTCCCAAATTCCCACTGCCCAATTCGGGTAAAGTGCTTACCAGACCCCGCCTCCTCTTCCAAACTACCGCCGCCTCCCAAACTGCAGCCCGTGTTCCAGCCCCAAAACAAAAGTATTTCTAGTCCTTCAGCCCTCCAGGCGAAGCAAGGTAAGGGGCTGGACCCCAGAACTATCAGAACTCAAACCAGGTTCCCAGCTTCCACTTCCAGGTGAATTGATCTCACCACCCCATCCCACCCCCAGGAGATAGAGCCTTCTAGTAAAAACGAGATAATCCCACCTGGCGCGGTGGCTCACGCCTGTAATCCCAGTACTTTGGGAGGCTGAGGGGAGTGGATCACCTGAGGTCGGGATCACCTGAGTCTGAGGCTGAGGCAGGTGGATCACCTGAGGGTGAGGCAGGAGAATCGCTTGAACCCAGGAGGCGGAGGTTGCACTGAGCCAAGATCGTGCCACTGCACTCCAGCCTGGGCAACAAAAGCAAAACTCCGTCTCAAAAAAAAAAAAAAAAAAAATTGTTCAGAGAAACAGTTCCATTTACTAAGTCACTCCTGGTGGCCAAAGCCTAGTTAATGTTCTGAAAAACAAATATCCAACATGTTT